GTTTGTGCCCGTCTTCCTCTGCTCTCGTCATCATCCGAAGATTCCCGACGATTCCCGAAGTATTTCGTTTCATTGAGAGGGCGCAGTAAAATTGAAAATAAAATGAAACTAGGCGCATGAAATTAAAAAAAATTGTTTATTATGCTTATTTTTAATACAAATACATAAGTTAAACCCAAAATTCGCGGATTTCCACTATCCCTTTAATGTCCTGTAACATAATCTTCCTGTGCCAGATTAATGCACTTGATGCATCAAAGCTTTGTGATTGGCCGGCGTCACCGCTGTGTCGGGGCGTGGCTGAGGGTCTTCAGTACAGGTGGCAATATTGTCACCTGCCTGCGCTCATCTCTGAAACCAGACCATGTAAACAGCCATGGTGTTTCTTGCAAAAAATCTTTAAGAGATTACATGAGCAGTCCTACCAGCATTTGCCATGGTGGCCTAAACATTTTTATTTGGTCTTAAATTGTAGTTCAACATTTATTTCCTGTTACTTTTGGACCATGACGGTTGGCCAGCCTTCAACGTTTAACTGAGTGGAATATGTTGAATATGTTTTACCAAAATGTTGGCTATATGTTAAGGAGTTTTCAGTAGGTTGTGACAGTGCACTGCAACATGTTTAATTTCATTTATTTTGGTCTAATTTATTTTTATTTATCATATTAATAATATATGTTTAGTATGGTTTTGGAAGTGTGCTCCAACATATTTGTTGATCTTGTTTATTGGTAAAATATTATTTGTTTTAAAGTTCAATAAATGGTCAATGAATAATCGTCAAAATAATCGTGATATAAATTATTGACCCAAATAATCGTGATTATGATTTTTGCCATAATCGCACAGCCCTACATTGACGTATCCTTGGCTGAGTATGCGGGGACTGGTAATGTGCTTAGTGCATGTGATTGTGTCCAATATTGTTATCTGCTCTGAATATGCCAGTATCAGCCATTTGGTAACTTTTGGAACTTCTTTTACAGTGGTATCAAAATGTAGAAATGCTAATTTACAAGTAAAAGTCCTCAATATTTTACTTTTAAGTTCACTACTAAAATTACAAAATCATTAGCAACAAAATGTGCCTTATGTCCTAGAAGTAAAATGACTCATTATGCAGAGCAGTCTATAGAATAACTATCATATGAGAAATGTTGCAGCTGGTAATGTAAAGGGGAGGTTTTCAATATATATACTGCCGTGTACATTGTGAACTTCACCAAAGGACCAACAAAAAGTTTATTTTAACCTAAAATAATGCACGAAAAGTAATTTCTTGATAAGATATTTTCTACTACATCTACTAATCTGAAAAGTAACTAAAGTAGAGGAGATTGAAAGTACATTATTTTTCCTCGTAATTACAGAGGAGTAGAAGTATGAAATAAGAAGTACCACAAAACTCTACTTAAGTAAATGGACATAGCACCTGTCCAACCCTGCGTGTCTGAAATGACCTTAAATGTATTCTACTATTGTGATTGTTGTCATAATTAGTTTCCATTCGAGCTTTCACCGACCTTTGAGTCTCTGTCCCGGCTGGACTTGCACAGCGAAGCCAAAGTCTGTGAGTTTGATTTTCATCTCGTCATCTAAGAGGATGTTCTCAGGCTTCAAGTCGCGGTGGACGATGTTCTGGTTGTGGAGGTACTCCACCACCTCCAGCAGAGGACGCATGATGTTCCTAAAACCAACACACACCAAACTCATAAGGATTCTTTCTAATAGAAATAAGATAATTCACAGCTTTTGTCTTGGTAAATAGTTTAAACATGTATTTCTCACTGACCTTGTTTCCTTCTCACTCAGAGTAACTTTCTCTGTGAGGTAGTCAAAAAGTTCGCCCCTCTTCATCCTGAATTAAATAAATACAAACATTTGAGGATTTTGGATAGATGTGAGTCATGAAAAACTTGAAATTGGACACTTACAGGTCAAAAACCAGGAAGAAGAAGGCTTTTGATTCATAGCAGTCTTTGAGCTGTACTGGAGAGGAGAGAGACATTGGAGTAAAAAAAAAAGGGGGGACTATGATTCACTTGATAGGTGGATCAGTTGAAAACAAAGGCCATCAATAACCACAACTCTGGAAGGCCAACAAGCTCTTTAGACTATTAATTATTGCAACCAGTGAATGCGCTTACTGATGTTGTGCTGTCCGCAGACTTTATTCAGAATGTCGATCTCCTTCGCCGTGGCCTCTCTGATCTCCTCCATCTCCTGCGGGGTCACCTTGTCCGAGGGGGTGATGTCGATGATCTTCACCGCGTACTCCTGAGACGTCTGCTTGTTGATGCAGCGACGCACCACGCTGCTCACTCCCCTGAGGAAGAGAGAACACTTGTTATCTGCACATTTGTCAGGTTACTTATTTCTTCACAGGTTTGTGTTTGTAGAGCTAGATTTAAAGAAAACATGTTTGTGAGCTTTGTTCAGGAATTTCAAAACACAAACAAAACGTTTCTGTGACAACTGATGGATGTAAAAACGAAAAACAACTTAGCATGAATTTATGTTCTCAAAATGTTCTTTCTATTTATTACTCTCATCTAATCCATGCAAGAGGCTTTATTTTGTGATGTGATGAGCCTAAACTCAAAGATTATAGCCTTCTCATTGTCATTTTTACTTATCAAATCCATTTCAGAGGAAACTCTCCCTCCCCTGTAACTTAAGCGGGATGTTTGTGAAGAGTACTAGAGTAGCTGAACCCACTTTCCTCAGATCCAGTGACCTCATGACATGGATGTGTGAAAGAGAGTAAAATTACATAATCTAACAGCGTGCCCTAAATCCCAGGAAGCTCTCAACACTGAACCTTTGTTTATTATGGAAGGTAATGAATGAAGCCTCCTCCAACACTGTGAGTGTGTTATGTAACAACACAACCGACTGACAGTTGGGGGAGGGGAGGGGACAAAAAGACAGAAAGGGAGCCCTGCCACAGCTGACATTACTCTTGGACTTCTGGGAAACTTCTGGGAAACCATTTGGCTTGTGTTCTAAGCGTCCACAACAACTGTGTCCCAATCAAATGACATTACAGTGAGCTGTATTCAATTGTATTGTGCTTTTGAAAAGAATAAAACATGTTGGATTACAGACCATCTTTACCATACTAACCAATACATGTAGGCTCAGTGGTTGTGCTTGTGTCTTCTTAATGGATAACTGTACATTATATTTATTGCAAAATATGCATATTCACTTTTTTTGCAGAGTTGGATAAGAATATTGATACACTTTTGTATCTTTCTGTACATAAAGCAACATCCAGCGGCTAGTTATAGCCTAGTTTAGCATTAGCACTGGAAACACTAAAACTATATTTAATTAAACTTGTTTGTGATTGCCGTAGTAAATGTATCTTTATGGAGCAAAATTAAGTTGTGCATTTTGGGAGCAGGATTTTTCTTGATTTATTTGGATACTACTACAGTCCCAAAAACATAGAATCGTCCAGTAACTCATAAGAAAAGAGAAATAGAGAGTATCAGCAAAATATTGACCCGCAAGCTCAATACAGTCTATATTCCTGAACCTCTGGTTGGGAACTCCCGCTGCCAGCTAATGTAAGTCTTTACAAACCTGCCCAGAATCTCCTTGGACTCGTACTTCTCGTAGAACTCCTGGGCTCCCACCCAGTCGGGGACCTCCTCATCTTTGGTCATGTCTGTGATGCTGCTGCTCCTCCGAGGCTCAAAACACTTTTAGGTGCGACAGTTCTATCAGAGACGAAATAGCACCAATTATAAAAATGACTTATTGTGCAGCAGAAGAAGCTCTCCTATTTTTTTTCTGCATGAATGATCATTGCTGATTCATTTATGTACAAGAAGCCCTTTGATGTTAAAAGGTCACAGTAAGGCTCTTTAACTGAGCTGCAAAATGAATCTGCCACTGTGTTAATGAGGGCTTCTTTCAGTCACATGATGATGCAGAAATGGCAAGTGTTTGGTAGTTGCATCTTCTCAAATTGAGGATTTTGCTGGTCTTTTCATGTTTATATAACAATAAATATGATTGATGTACTTAACTATGATATTTTCACCTGCAAATGGTTAGCACATTGAACTGCTGGACATTTATAGATGTCACTTTAGGCTCTGAGAAATTGTATATTTCTTTTGACGTTTCATATGATCATGTGCTTCTAGACATGCCTGCCCTTAAACAACCTAACAACGCTTTACTGACCCAACATGGCTTTCTTGTGGTCTTGCTATTAAAGGGATTAATTTCATGTCAAGGTTAGAGAAGAAGGGTGAATGAATGGAATCTATTACCTGATTTACCAGTCTAAATGACATGACCACTTCCACAAGTTTCTACAGTAAAAATGTTAAACTTCAGTTCAGTTCAGTCTCACCCAAGTTTATTGCAACAGATAATAAGCTAACAAAAACTGTTGAGGATCTAAACCCAATGTCACAGCCGACCTATCACACGGTGTCGACTGATAACGCCAAATGCCACAAGTGAAATACATCTCATCTAATCCACTGTCACTATTTGACCTTTAGCTGCCTCCAGACAGTAATAATAAAGTAATTAATTAAATGTAAAATCTCTCGGTCACTCACCGTGTCGGTTAGTCCCTGTTATAAATTAGATCCATTATTGTCAGTTGGTCTGATCACAAGGACGCACGCGGAGCTCCAGTCAGACACCGGTGCTGAGTATGGGGCTGCTGCCATGGCTAAGGGTGAGCCTTAATGTCAGATGCCAAAAATAAATAGTTGCTTCCACAGCAGCAGCTCACTCTGATCGCACAAAACAGAGCCATGAAATAACATCCTGCAGCTCCTGCCCTCGCCATGAGACATTGAGAGGGAGAGAGAGAGGACTACATTACTAACAGCTCCACATCTAACTCGTGGATATACACTGAGACTGACTGGAGTGACATGGCAGGTGTGAAACCTCTGAGGCATCTATTTATAGATATATTTTCTTAGAAAGTACAGAGTAAGAATAACCAGGCATTGAAATCATTGTTTTTTGAAGTGCTTTATTGTTTTAAAACCTAAACTGCAGACCTCCATCATCCAGAAGACAGGAACTGATGGTTTTACAAGGTAGCATGATCAACAAATGCAGTTCATTTATTTAAATTAAAAGCACTAAAGCTAATGAACAACACTCCACTGAAATTAACATGCAACACGATATATAAACATTATTTATACCACTGTTACTTCCAACTCTACAGCATTGTCCTGAGAATGAACACAATAGTAACAAATCTTTTTAAGAATCAACACCCTAGTACTATTGATCAAGCATGACCGCTTATTTGAGTTTGTGTGCGCTCTGCTTCATTCTCCAGGATGTTATCTCAGTCTCACGACATACCTGTGGAGAAAAGAAAAGTTTATTTAGACAAGTGGTAATACTGCTTGACATTAATAATAATAATTTGACCAATTTACCACAGACTAAGAAAACACTCCTCTATATATCTTTGCTTTTTAATGACTGTTTTTAAATGCCATTTTCTTAATGTCTTTCATTTTTGTAAAGTACATAATGTGCCTTGTGTTGAAAGGTGCTCTATAAATAAACTTGCCTCCATTGGCCACACTGTGTATTGCAACACATTACATCACACACATGATGCTAAGTTATTTGGCTATGACATCTGGATGACTAAGTGCTGATGTAATGCTTCCTATTTTGTTATGAAATGAGAATTTCAGTCTTTCAAAACAGATGAACAAAATAATAATGCTACAATTACATAGGTGGTACAAGATTAAAGCATAGGACAACCTTAAAAGTCATGTCAGGATTATCCTTCCCAAAATAACTTTATTCACAGTATTATCTTAAAAAATATAAATACTGTTAAAACTCTTAAAGATGACACTTACTGGAATTATTTGTATCTTACTCTCTTTAAAGAAACATATATACTTTTATTGCATCACGGATATGTCACACCATTTTTTTGGTAAAAAACTTAAATAGAGTGGTCTTAAATCATAAGGTCTGCCTGCATAAATACACAAAGAAAAATATATATAACAGTCCATTGTGTAAGTTGGTAACTCGTGAATTTTAAAAGCTATTTTATTTTGTATTTCTTTACAATGATAGTGAGTTCCACAGCCTTTTCCAGTCACTCATGTAATGTTACTCAAGATTATCCTGATAATAAAAAAACACAGCAATCAGTGATTGTGTATTTTATCCTGGTCCACAATGAAATCCTTAGTGCCCAATCCCTATGCCAGACACACATATCAACAAGCATTAAATCCACCTTTGGATCAATTCCATTCAACTCACCATAGTTAGACTTGCACTGTTTGAGCACCTCGCTGAAGCCCTCGCAGAGCTTGTAGTCGTGCTGGTTCTGGGCACACTCAATGAACTGTTTGAGCTCATAGGAGCAGGCCTGCTGCTGCTGAGGGGCCTCCTGCTGGTACATGGAGGACTGTGGCTGCTGCTGGTACATGGGCTGAGCCGGGTACTGCTGGTTCTGCTCCTGAAGGACACAAGGCACATGACGGGACTCATTTACTTTGATTAAATACAGGGTTCACATAAATCAGACCTCCAAATAACACAATATAAGTTGGTAGCCTACAAAGTAAGCTACTATGTGTGATGGAAACTTCTGAAGCAATGGAGACGAGACTCGGAGCGACACGGAGAGAGCTGGAACTTTGATGGCAAACACTGATGGTTTATTTGGAGCTTCGGCCGGAGAATTCACAAGACATGTGCTGTGCTACGAGGTGATACAGCGGTTCCCAAACCAATTCTGGAGATCTCTACCCCAGATCCCTGTATTTAACTTGTTCTGAGAGAATAATCAACATTGTGCATAACAAGATAAAACAGGCAAAGCACTAGAACTCCTCTATCAGCTGACACCAACAAGCAGGAATAGGGAGACAAAACACTGAGAGCACAGCAGCTCAAGGTTGCAGGCCTGTGCTCAGTAAGGTCAGTACAAACTGATAAAATGGGTCACAGGTGTGGGACTAGGAACATATTTCCCCAACACTATGTGATGTTTGTTCATCATTACTTTGCCTCTTCAAATAAACCCCCAAACACACCCACACCTGTTTTTGTCACTGCTACCTAACATGTTCCAGACACCCTAATCAGATCTTCGTTATTCCAGTCCTACCACCGGCTAAACCAGGGTTTATTTACCTGATATGTGACATCAGGCTTGGCAGACTCTGAGTTTCCTCCTCCTCCACTTCCAGTCATGGCGTTGCCGATGACGTGTCCGACTGCAGATCCCACTGCCACTCCAGCTGCTGTAGTCGCCATCTGGGCGAACATACCGGGCTGCTTGGGTGCTGCTGGGGCACCCACAGCAGACGGAGGAGCGTGTGCTGGAGCCGGGGCATAGGAGGGAGGGGGGGCCGCCCTGGCCATGGGAGGTGGAGCCCTCGACATTGGCTGTGGTGATGGAGCCCGTCTGCAAAATCACAATTCATCAAACAACTGACACAACCTGTGTGTGCTGATACAAGATTGCCCCCCTGGTCAAATAAATAATGGTTCACTTCGGTCTTAGTGAACATTTAAAATGGTGCTTTGGAACAAGTATTTATGGAAAACTCTTCTAATCTTTTAATTAAATAATCTAATCAATTATTTGAGATAATCACAGTGTTTCCCACAGATCTGAAATATACTTGGGCGGGTGGTGGCAGCGGGCGGGGGGCGGGGGGGGGTGCGCAAAAAAAAAAGTTTTCATTTCGTATAATCATTTTGCGTAAAGATGGCACTCAAGGGCACACTAGTGGTGGTGTTCCTGGCGGGATTTGAACTCACAGCCTTCCGATCTTCAGCCCACCTCACTATCCATTAGATCAATCACTACCCTCTCAAATGGAAATATGTGTTTACATACTGTAAATGGTGACCACACTGTTTGAGACCCACTGAGAACTTAAACTAAGTTAACTATCTAAACACTCAGAGTCCTTTACCTCACCTGAGCTGAGGTTATCCCGAGCTTGAATGACACACAGAGACCAATCAAGGGCTTTGATTTATGATCTCTATGACAGTGGCCATGTTGGCAGGCCACATCATGTAGACAGCCAGTCACCCTGTGTGAGGCAGGCCACTTAACGAGGCGAGATCAGAGCAAGGGAGCGAGGGATCATTGTCCACAAGTTAATCGATCGCAGATGGCGTCGTGGTCACGGACGAATAAAAAAAAAAAAAAAAAAAAATAACTTATTAAAAAAAAAAAAAAGGGTCGCGAAATATACCTGGGCGGCCCGCCCAAGTATAGTCTATGTGTGGGAAACCCTGAATCATGCCAACTAATAATTTATTCAGTCGTATTTTCAAATTAGTTTCAGCACATATTGAATCAATAAGCCAGATAAAGGTCTAAAATAGAACATCTTTAAACCTTTATAATATCAATATTATTTTACATTACAAAAAACAATATGGTATCAACTAGCTTTAGCCCTGAACTGTGTCTTAACAAAAAAGAAAAAGTGAGGGGAAAAAGCCTTAATTTAATGTCAGGTTGAAGAGAAACTGATCCTCGTTGTCTGTATTTAATCATTCTGTTTGAATAATTTTAAGAGCATGGGCAGATTACCGTGTACATACTGTGACCTTCATTATCTATCAATAATTTCTAAGCAATCACCAGTTTCTTGGTAGAAAAGGAAGACATTGAGATGTACAAAACTAATGATTATAAGTGAGTAAAAACTGCTAATCTAATAGGTAAGGTCCCTGATTAGCACTAGTGCTAACACACGTAACGGTGAAAGGATCAAGCTAAACTAGTTAGCCGTTAGCATTTTTCACTGACAGCTTTGAAGGCTTTTATCAAACGTGAGACATCAAATGTTACCTGGCAGGAGGCGCCATCCGTGATGATCTGCTTCCTCTCGGCATTTTGAAATTAGTAGTCTATTTGCGCGTTGTTTAGCTGAAAACAACAGACGGCTATAAAGTCGACCTTTAACTGGAACCAAAACGCTGTACTGAAATGTTCCGTGTGTTACAGTTATTGTCTGTCGGGTAACTTCCGGTATGACGGACACAACAGGGCGCTTTCATCAGCCACAGTTATGTAGCTTTTAGCTGTTGTGTAAAATATACAGTATAATAATAAGATACATTAATGAGAAACTGGATAAAGAAACACATGTGGTCATTAAGTATTACACACTTATATTGGATGAGTTTACGAATTTACCTGTTAACAAGGCATTTCTTTAAAAATGATTTTTTTTAAAAGAGCTATACATAATTAATAATAATAATAATAATAAATTATATTTATATAGCGCCTTTCAAGGGACCCAAGGTCGCTGTACATGGTGGACAAACAAAACAAACAGACAATCAACGGGCAAACCAAATAAATAAATAAAGGAAGCCGGGGGACCAGAAAAGGGCTAGGGCCCGAAGGCCAGGGTGAACAGGTGTTTTTAGTGATGATTTGAAGGGAGGCAGCATTACGGATCTCGGCAGGAAGTGCATTCCAGAGGGTGGGGGCCGCAACACTGAATGCCCTGTCACCAACAGTTCGGAGGCGAGAGCGGGGGATGGAGAGCAGGCCCGTGTCTGAGGACCGCAGACTCCGAGAAGGGGTGTAGTAGGGATGGAGGAGGTACGATAAGTACTGGGGGGCGAGGGTATGGAGGGACTTGTACGTGAGGAGGAGTGTTTTGTATTGAATCCGGGACTTGACCGGCAGCCAATGGTGGATGAGGGTGGGGGTGATATATGGTGCCATGGCTTGGTGTGGGTGAGAAGCCTGGCTGCAGAGTTCTGGACGTATTGGAGCCTATCCAGGGTTTTGCTGGGAACCCCGGACAGGACTCCATTGCAATAGTCCGGGACGGGATAGTAATAATAGACGGGATGTAATGAAGGCGTGTACAAGGGTTTCTGCCACAGAGTCAGAGAGTGAAGGCCGGATTCTGGCAATGTTTTTTAGGTGGTAGAAGGCGGATTTGGTGACAGATTTGACGTGCGCCTGGAAAGAGAGGGTGGTGTCCAGGATGACTCCCAGGTTGAATAATTGGTTATCAAACAGTGATTGCCAGGCTGTCTTCAGCATCAAAGCATTACTAACAGTGAACAATAAAATGAGCAAAAATAACAATACATGTGTGCATAGTAGGTTTATTTTTGGGCAAACAAACCTATATATTAATGTGCGAAGGAAACATATAAAGAATCTAATTATTTTTGCACAACAAAAGTATGTGGTTGGAAACCAATTGTAGCAATAGGAAGTTATTATAAAAAAGCACATAGTCAGGTTTGTATAATACTACAAATAGAATAGAATTAGGCAAACCTTTTCTAAATACAAAAGTATATCAAATGCAGCATTCACAGCCATATTTCATTTAATACAAATATTTAAAGAAAGAAAGATAATTACTTATTTCTCCAATTAGGCAGTAAGAAAAATACATGTCACTGTTATTTCCCTTTTTTCTTTTTATCTGAAAATCTTTGTTGATTCGGTCCACCTCCCCGTCCTTTCGCTCTACGACCTTCCCACGCTGGCATTGGTGGCTCAATTTCTCCTGGTCGTCCACCTCTGTCTGGAACACTGCCCATCAACGTCTAGTGAGACATAAGAATAATTAATAATCATCTTTATTTGCTGCTGCTGCAGATGTCTCGCTGAGAATCACAGATATGGTTTGTAATTGTTTACTGTTGTACCTTGTAGACGAGTGTGCTTGTTGCAGACTTGATTATCTCAATGAAGGACTGATCTTCTCTGGTGGCCATCAGAAGAGACGGGGACACCTGAGAGGAGCCGCTGAGCGACGAAAGAGGAGGCACTGAGGCCAGCGCTTCAACTTTCTCCTGTAAATAAAAGGACCAATCTAACTTTAATGTTGTTATCAGAAAAATAGTCAATATTTAATCTCTTTTTCAGAGACATGTGTTCAAAAAACAACATTAAAACATCTTAAACATTATACCTGAAACATTATTGCAAAGGAACATTTTACAAAACAAGTTCTTTGAAAGTTAAGCGATCTTCCTTTATGGGAAGTATGTTTCGCTTGCTGCATAGCTGTGCATGCATATGCATCGTAAGGGCACAACCCATTCAATAAAACCCAACTCAGTTCTAACTGATGCAATGATTTGTCATGCCCACCTTTTGTTTGTCTCCCCATGTAAACGACTCGAGAGTAACCTGAAAGCGTTTGATCATCATTTGGCGTCGACACTGATAGTCCCCTGACAGAATTTGATTGATCTTTTTTACTTGCACCTGTGAGGCAGAAAGGAAAATGTAATGTTGAATATTATGTTATAGTTACATATCGTTAACCTCATAGTATAATTGCCTGAGTGAAATGTTAAGGTTTTCAGAAAAATATTTTTCAGCAAACACGTAAGTTATATGACTTGATATGATGTATAATAAATTGGTAATAGCCCTGGCAACATACCCACTGCTCTGAGCTGAGGCTGCTGTTGAGAAGCGGTGCTGTCATTTCTCCACAAGGTAGACGAGTGAGCCTCGCCTCCACCTGCATCAAAATAAGTAACGTTTGAAAAAATACCTTCTGTGTTTCTCAGTTTAAAGTAGTGAAATAAACATTTAAGTCTCATTTTATCAGACTAACCTCACTCAACACATCTGTAAATTGACAGGAGGAATCCATGTTGAGGGCGTGCAGCAGTAATATCCACTCTGCCTGCATTTCTGCCTCCCTTCTGTCTTTGTCAGCATCCTCTTCATATTCCTCAGAAAACTCAGTCAATCCTACTTCAACTCGCTGCTCTTTTTCAGACTCCTCTTCTGTGGGTTTGTCCTCTGGATGCAATTCTTTGTGCTTCAATATTTGAGCTGCTTGCAATTCTGACACAAGGGACTCTAAAGAATTGAAAAAATATATAAGATAATAATAAGTTGTGCATGAAATGTTCAATCCATTGGCACTACAAGCCCACGACTCTAATTTCTCACCAGTGACTGTGTTGAGGATGGACGGCCCCATCACGTCTGAGGCCAGCACAGTGAGCGGAGACACAATGTCTGACAGTAAAGTTCTCAACTCTCCCACCAGCAAGACATCTCCTGTCCTGTTTGAATCTAAGAAAAGGGAAAACAAGGCAATCTAATTTATACATATGAATATAAATATACATAATAATCACGCAGCAAAATGGAACAAGAACAGGATAATACCATTCTGCACAGTATAATAAAGTACATGGCACCTGACTTTCATTCATGCAATGTACCACTATTTGTAACTCTGATCTGCATCTTTCTTTGGACTACATTAATATTATATCTTTTTTAATCTATAATATTCCAGGCTGATTTATGATGGACAGATATTAGCCTGTTGCAGATATATTGAGGTTGGTGTAAAGCAATGTCAGCCAAAAAGTGAAAATAAATTGCAGAAGAAAAGTCAAATGCATTGTTGGAAAAAGAACACCACCTGATTACTTAAAAAGTGTAACTGTACAACATAGTTCTTATAATTTGATGTATGGCTGGACTGTTTTGAGAACGTGCACAAATCCTTTATTGAGTGTGTATATACATCTTTCTGGGACATTTCTCTTTTTTAAATAATAGGCTACTTCAAATTACTTAAAGAGGGCTTCCCTTGATTTGTCTGTATAGTGTCCTTGGCTTAAACAAAACAGATAATCAATGCCATAGAGGCCACGCTGCAGCACAGACAGTTTATGATAGAAACCTTGCAGCTCCGGACACAGAGTGCTCAGCTCTGCAGTCAGCCAGGTGAGCAGCGGGCAGGGGAGTTCATCACATTCACACCGAGAGAGGCAGCGGCTGCCCGGGTACCTGAACAGGAAGTGAGGCGGACAGGTGAGACAAACTGAGAGCCTACGCAGCAAACATGAAGCAGGTAAAAGATACTCACCCGAGAGCTTTAATTGCTGAAACCGTCCCTGCGCTGCTCTCCATTGTCACTTCAGAGGTGATATAAATCGTTTACAGTATGCAAGCTCCACACAACTCAGGAAAGTTCAAGCGCGTTTAATAAAAAACTGCTGTTCAAAGTGTGCTTCCTCTTTTTACAGTTGGCAGTGGGAGGCCACATACCGCCATCTGTTGGCCGGAGGTGTTGTGACAATAACAAGTAACGCAACGGTGAGGTAAAATATAACAATTAAGAAAGTAAGACAATAAATAGTTAAAACAATAACAAACAATAGTTAAATTATATTAAAGTCTAATGAATTATGTGGAAAGAAAATGTATTTAAAAAAAAAAGATGTGCTTTATACAATATGCTGTATCCTACATTATGTTAAAAAAGAAAAAAAATATTTTTTTTAACTTAATTTCATTAAGTAAATTACATTATAAACAACAAATGAACACATACAAATCTGTTTCTTTACTTTCCTCTAACTCTCCTGGAAGAGCACATAGTAATGTGTTTTAGTCTTTTGTCCACCAGGGGCCACTTCAGGTCTGCTGGACTGACATTATATAATCTAATAATAACATGTACACTGACAGTAAACTTAAGTTCATTTTCTTACTGTATTCAAGTGCATTTTTAAGGTGCTTATATTACTTGAGTATTTCCATGTTATGTTACTTAATGCGTCCAAGCCACTACATTTTAGGGAAAAATATTATAATTATATTATATTAGTATTACAATACTTACACTGCACCACATTAATTTAAAAGCTGACAACTTGTAATTTTTTACAAGGCACTGAATAAAGTTCTTATCAGCTCCACTAACATATTGATGCTTCAGTACAAATACAACCCTATTATATATCTGTATATGTGAGGAGCCGATTCTGCAACAAAGCCTATTTCACTATTGACACATTGAAAAGAATACTTTTTTTTCAATTAATCAGATTAAATTAATTTCTGCAAGGTTTCTCTCAGTGTACTCAAGTAAATAAAATACAAACAACAAAAACAGTGAGGTAAAAGAGGTATAAAAGCAAAAATGTACTTCATTTATCTTTTCATCTTCATTGATCAATATTTGTAATATTTTGGTGTCCTTTCCACTCAACAGGATCACCGGAGCTGATGGAGGTTTTGCTTCAATGGAGCTGGTTGTGCACACTGATAGTGTAAATTACAGCATTAGCAAGCACTTCCTCGATTTGAAACATCAACACGTTTTTTATATTACCTTACTTCTTCACACCTTCAACAAAAGCTCTTCAGCAGAAAACCTTGGCTCAGAAAAAAAGTTGAATAGTCCTTTTGGACTCACTTTGGAAGGAGGTCACACTTATTTCTGTAATAAGGGTAGGAAGCAGCTGATATTTATCTTTTGTTAAAGTGTTATATTAGTTCTGCCCCTACTTATGACAGACAGACAAACGCACGTGCCTCATTAGCTTTGCCTGGATGTGTCTCTTCTTTTCTAGCACTGCTTGGCCACATGTAACACACTTCCAGCATCAAGCCCCTTCATAACCCCCCTTTAAACTGAGCAGGAACAATGGAGACAGGACTGAGTCTTACATTTGTTTGGCCCCTGCTACCATATGTACAGAAGCTGTGCCGCCCCTAACAACAAAAGCTCTGCCACGCGTCAGGATGCTGCGTCTCTCTATTCCCCTGACACTGCCCCCCTGCTGCATTCAATCCTCCGGGGGTTGATCTTTGACCTCAAGGAAGCAGCAGACCCTCCACACATGGTGGACCTGTTGTGCACTTGTTGGGTGGATGGATGAAGGAAACAGGGATTTCACTTCGTCATTATCACTACCATACTTGTAAATATAATATATTCGGGCATCCAAAACAAAACATGTTTTCGGTTAGGCCAACATTTCTAAAATTGCCTAATACAAATTAAAACATGATCTGCTTAATATTTCTTGTCAGACAAGTTTAATCAGGCTTTGTAAAGTGCTGTAAAATAAAAAAATGTAAAGTTTAAATGAATAATTATAATTATAAACATCCCTTTGCATTTGAGAAGGATATATTACAAATGATAACTGTTTAAAAACATTTTGAATAAGTGTAAAGTTTAAAATAATTGCTCTTTGTAATCATCTTGAAAGTCAGTCAATATTTGACCATACAATATGGAAATTATTTTGTGTATAGTATGATTAGTCTTGAGATATTAGATTATTAAAAGCTAGATCAAACTATGTAGACCTAGTTCTAATGAATGAATATGTAATTTTTTTGGAACATATTCATTTCTCATACCGATCATACATTAAGGGGAGGAGGAGAAGAGGATATGAAGTCCTCCCGCACTTAACATAATGTTAACATGGAAAGGACACTATTACATCTGCACATTTTTTATACAGTAACCTATGTCCATATATGTTTCTGTTTTTGTAGTAGATTGGTCTACTATAGAGATAAGAGATAAGATATATCCAAGCCCCCAATGTTACTAGATCCTAGCAACACCCCTGGTTACAATAACTTCATTAACATTTTGAATACAGGACTTCATTGAGGTCTAAGGATAGAGGGTGTTTTCTCATACTGATATTCTGAACAATCTGTGCTGTTGTATTTGCTGTAAAGTGTCTCTACTGTAGGCTATTTTTATTATATGTACAGCACTTTGGCTCGACCAAAAATCGTTTATAAATGTGCTATATAAATAAAACTTGATTTGATTTGATTGACACAGTTTTGCTTTAAGGTTACTCTGTGCTCCTCACACTGACTGAACATATCTAAGTAGTATTTTGTAAGCTTAGTGTGTCTCTCAGCTTTGTGTTAATGTTCCACTATATACCAGCAACACCTTGAGCCTTTAGCGGCAGGACAGGTGTCCTTCTGGCTGGTAACAGTTTCCCAGGTGACGGAAGGAAGCCACACCCCCTGGAGACCATGTCATGTGCTGCTGACAGACGGAGCAACCAATTCTCACCGAGGAGCTCAAACCGTCAGCTCCACTTACAGAAACACAGACAGACACTGAGACAGAAACACAGGTGTAATGGACGAACTTATTCCCACCTGTGCGTCTCTATTTTAGCTTTTTTCTGTGTCTTTAAAACACTTTTAACTTAGAAAGTTTTGTTTAAGTCAACTCCTCGGTTTTGCAATTATGGATCGCCTGGATGATTGGAGCTTCAAGACCAAACAAATTGACCTGGAGGAGCATTTCTACTTCGACTACGAGTCGGAGGAAATGACAGATTATCAAGACCCGAATGAACTTGTGACTGCATTGAAACAAAAGGAGGAAGAGGTTATTTTGGCAGCCCAGCTGGGAAACGCATTGCTTCTGGAAAACCGTGAGTTGAAAGAGCGGAGCGACAAACTTCATGAACAATACGCAGACAAGCTGGAGGTAAGACTGTATGCTTTATTTCACAAAAACTGCTTAAACATGTTAAATATAATATGCTTTGTGTTCAAATATGTGTATTAAGAAATCTTTGACGATGTGGTTGATGCTAAAGCTTGAAGTGGGACGGTGAAAATTAAAATGTTTTTAGGATTAACAAATGATAACGCTTTCATTTTTTATAACTGGTATCAGACCCTATAGCCACTGACTATAGTAACAAAATGAATCAAGTTTAAGAAAACAATAGGCCTATAACATATCGGAGTAGCTATAATCCAATTTGTATGTTTGAAAAATACATAGGCCTACAGCTGGCAGTTTCTTTTGTATTAGATGTCCAAATGACAACTTTAAATACTCAATTGTGATAATAAACAGCAACATGTGACAAATACATGGAGAAAAATACACGTTTGAGAAACAATAGACGCCGTTCAGTATCATCTACAGCAGGCTTTACAACATTCATTATATATTCCAAAATCTATTGTTAATCTCAACACCAATACATTATATGATCCATAGGATACTACTTTGAATAAAGCTATCATTTCCATACAAAAGGAATAAAAACTACTATTTATTTTGTGTTTTTCCACTGACTACAACAGTATCTTTACATAAATGTTTCGCAGCAAGCTATTTTTACAGGTTGTGATAATAAATAAATAAATTGGCAACCTGCTGCAGAGGAACCAAACCTGACTTGACTCACACGTTTTATAAAACATCAGAAGTTAACTCGTGCATCTATTACAAGCAAACTGCAGCAGAACCCACATATTTACGGGGAGCATCAGAACACTCCTGAAAGAGATCAGAGATGATTCTCCAAATTCAATAAATGTCTTTAGGACAACATCTAACAGCATTGAAGTAAGAGACAGCTAGTGAAATGAAATTGTCTGCAGATTTTTTATTGTGTTTATATTTGTTGTTAAGGTGTTGCCTACTGCACACAGCATCACATACCTGAGCCTTACGACAGACTAAATAATGGCCTGATTGTTTTTCTCATGGTGAATGCTGATTGGCCCTTCAGATGTTTAAACCCAACTCTTATCAGAGATGACTCGGACTTAAATCCGTACTGTTTACAAAGTGCAATAAAATAAAGATGTGGCAAGAAGGTATCTGCCTATGATAGTTTATCTATAATGAAATATATGAAAACAGATTTGACTGATGTTTCTGTAGCACATGAATTAAATGCTGTACATTTCAGTGCAATAGATCATGTTTTTTATTAATACAAATATCCAGCAATAATTCCTTTTGATGATCCTTCAAAGCTCTAAATGAGGCCTGCTGGCACATTCTGTCCCTCAGATTCATTTTCAAGACAAAACTTTGTTGACATCCTGTTGCTGACAAGGCACATTTAGAATTATTATAATTTCAGACCTATGCAAAGTATAAACTGCCTATGTTGAGTTAACCGTCACTCTGAATCTGTGTTAGGCGCTGGAGCAGGGCAGGCATGAGCTGCGGCAGAAGCTGGAGGGCTGCCAGTCCCAGTGGGAGAGCCAGGTGGGCGAGCTGGAGAGGGATGTGAGGGAGCTGAGTGGCCAGGTGGAGCGGCTGACCCGGACCCTCAGCGAGGCCGAGAGGGACAAGAGCCGAGCCGAGCTGGAGCACAGCGAGCACACACAGAAACTCAGAGATCAGCTCAACACTGTGAGTCCCAAGAGAGTTTGTGTAATGTGTGTTATCCTGTCTGAACTGTAGACAGTGGGTAAAGGAGAATTGACTTCCACTGTTACAGTCAGGCATTCAAAA